TACCCGCCTTTTCTCGTTACACTGAGTGAGCATGACAATAATCTGAGATTTTTGTTGTAGGACCATCTTCCAGAAGTCATTCCTGGTTTCAGGCAGCGGCCCCTGGGTGGCGATATACTCCTGAGGTGAGTTGTATCCCTGAGAGACGGGTAACAAAGTCATCACCTAACCAGCCAGACAGAGTCAACACCAAATGCTGTTCCCCCCACAGGGAGAAAATCAGAAAATGTACCCGTGATAAAATTGGCAAAGGATCACACGCCTGTGTAACATTTTCTCCTTTTTTAATCAAAGAGGCAATCAGAATAACTGATTGTATAGGTCTTTGTGATTTTAATCATTGTACTCCAGAAGCCTATAAAAATCACATCCACACCTTTTTGTGACAACAACCACTCTCCCTCTAGATATAAAAAGTGCAGGTGCCCAGGCGGAGCCCTTTGAATTTGTTTGCTGAAACTGAAGTTTAAACACGAGAGACGATCTTTAGCCTTTCTACTTTCTCTTTTGCTACTCATTTATGAAGAAATTGGAATAGTACCTAGCTAGGGGTTTCCCCACCCCCACGCCCACTCTTTACTCTGAAATGGAATAATGGAAACTGCTCTGCAGAGTTGGACCTGTGTAGGGGAAAGGCTCCCTTTTTAACTGTCTGACACTTACATATAATCCTAATAGCATTCCAGTGGCTGGGCTAGCATGGGGATGCCTGATGTTTTCTCTACTTACAGGAATGTAGTTGGCATTGATGTAGTCGGCCCCTTCCTCTTCATTCATGGAGACTAATCTCACCCGGCTAAAGTCATCTGTAAAGCACAAAGAGAAAAGAAATGTTAGCATTGGGCTGGAAGGAAGAATGAGCTTGACCTTCTCTGTCCTGTATCAAGTCACATCGGTCAGTGATACGGTAGGTAGATAATTTATGTTAGCCTGATATTTTAGCCATTTCTCAATCTTAGTTTCTTGTTTAAATAAATACATACATATCTCCCAACCACTATTTTCTTCCCACCAGGTCTCCTATCCTTGAAAGAACTGTCTCCAGGGCTTTGGAAGGTTGTGCAGCATATTTACAAGAACTAATATTTCTGGGAGATTGTATGAAAAGCTATTATATATAGCCTAAATACATGATTTACCTCTCACCTAGGGATACCTGCAAAGTTTACTACCTTTGGGAGATCTGGAGAAGAAAAGATGCATAGGAGATTTTGGGTAAGTGGACTTTAAATGAGACAATTCTGAGCTATGTACAAACGTGAAATGTTATTATAATAAGACTACCTAATTTCATCAAGAAACCATATGAAAGAAAGAAATCTCTTTCTACAGATTTTTCAGCCTCCCTCTTCTGACTTTCCCGTTCTTGTCCAGCTCACTCAGAGGGTAGCAGAGAAGAAAGTTAAATCTACACTGGGATGTCTTTTAATTGTCCTGTAAGTACTTTATATTCCTTTTTTCTCTCTTGAATGTTGCTCTTTATCACAAACTGCTAAGCAACAACATAACGTGCCAGCATTATTTTAATGCCTTTTACTTTCCATTTGACTCCTTCCAGTGCCAGTGAACTGACTGAAAGTATTTTATAAGAGCCCAGATTATCTGATTCCTAATCTGGCTAAGACTTTTATGGTCTCCACAGGGCTAATGGTCAGCCTTTTCTGCTCAAATACAATTCATTTAAAAGCATGAGAATTAAATCTTCCTCCACATGGTGGGAACTAATAACCTCAGATGGGAGGGAGATGAACGCAATCTCAGGGATGAGCTCGAGATGCAGACCATGAAGGAGTATGGTCAGGGATGGGTGGAATTGGTCTGCGTTGAACAGTATTTCAACCTTTAAGAGACACGAGCAAGATTGGCAACTATCGACCATCTTACATGGTAGGATGTTTGTGTAACGGTTTTTACATCGATTCAGTGGCAGATCTGCAGCAAAGTGTGGAATGTCCAGTCCAATCAATTTCAACTCCTGAAAAGGATAGAGAATGGATTTGAGATTTCTGTACATGGTGTGGATTGGATTATTGATCACCAGACTTATTGTTCACATTGGATTACTCCTTATTCCCTGCCTATAACAGACTCATAACATGCTTTTTACTACACCATGTATAATGTGGTAGCTTCTTTTGGGGTAGAGTATATTTCTCCACCTCATTCTTGTCAACTTGCTTGGGCAATGAACTTGGTAGAACTCCATGAACTTCAGTGAACTGGCTTGGTTTGGTTTGCCTTGTTGTGTGTCTGCCAGCTGCCATGAAAAGAACATGCCCAGAGAAGGTGCTAGTCTCAAAATGAGGAAACACGTGGACAGACCTGACTCTTGCCTGTAGCCTAAAAGGGAATTGTCCCAACAGTCCCATGGCCTATGACTAGGGAAAAAAAATGTTGTGGGTCACTGAGATTTGGGGACTTTTTCTTATAAGACATTTTTTTTTTTTTACAATAATAGCTATAAAATACAATACACAAATACCTTAGATGGCAGTCACTTGGCGAAGTAAGAACTATGTGCATAACTCTCAGGGTATGAAAGATTTGAAAACAGAAATGCTCTTCAGACTTTTAGAGGAATAGCATAAGAGAAATGTATGCTTCTATTGTTTAAAATATTTTGGAAATCTACTCCTTTTAGAAAGTGCCTTTATGGATAATTTGCCAAAATCTCTCTCCTATTCTGGTGCACCACATATAAACTTTATGGTCTTGAAAGGTAGTTCAACTCCTGTTAACATCAGTTTAATTATAGGATAATAATTTCCTCATTCCTCACTGGCATACAGAGACTAACAGGATAATTCAACAAATGCTAATGCAGCACTATTGATAATGATTGAGAAATGCTTCTGTGATGAATCTTTGTTTTGCTTTGCCTGACTCCATAAATCCTCCCTCTTTTGCCATTTGCACTAACAGACCAATAACTCTTCCCCTAATTCTCTCACTTTGGGGACAGACTGATAAGCCACAGGAAAAGGTCTCAGATACAAAGGAAACTGTAGAAACAGACTGAGCCTGAGAGTTGGAGCACATATGGAAGCTGACTAACTGATAGAACTTTAATTGTGTGCTGTCTCCCTGCTGGAAATGCCCTGAGTTGATAAGAGAGGTTTAATTGGCTGAACACTGTAAATGGAAATTGCCAAAGTTGGATCGCAGAAAGCAGGAACTGCATGTAAACACAGAATGCTTTGCAGTCTTTGTAATGTAGCCTGTCACAAAGTGGAAAATCAAATACTGAGTTTCCAGTTCAGTAGCTTTGCAGTTATTTTCTTTCCGACCATATGGAAATTCCATTGGCTTAAATCTTCGTGAAGGCATAGCATGGGGTGATGGCCTGAAACCAACATAAATCATTTCTGAATTTTCTTTTGCCAGTTGTGTCCCTAATTTATGATCTTTCTTCCTTAGGGTACATAGTCATCAGTAGGGCATTGAATAGTGGTCCTTAAAAAGAGATTTCCATGTCCTGAGCCCTAGAACCCGTGAATGTGAATTTATTTAGTCAATGTCTTTTCAGATATAATTAAGTTAAGAAGCATGAAATGAGATCACCCTGGAGAAGAGGAAGAGGCCATGTAAAGATGGAGGCACAGATTACAGTGACGTAGCTGCAAGCCAAAAACCCCTGCAGCCTTGAGAAACTGAAAGAACCAAAGAAGCGTTCTCCCCCGGAACCTTCTGAACCAGTGCAGCCTGCCGACACCTTGATTCTAGACTTCTGGCCTCCACATTGTGAGAATAAATTTCTGTGGTTTTAAGCCAGCGAGATTGTGGTAATTTGTTATGGCAGCTCTAGGAACTCACACAGTTATCCAAGCCCACTAGCAATCTATGTTTTGTTGGCTGTGCTTGAAGCATACAAGTCTTGAAAAGTAAAGCACAAACATATGTATTATATTAGTCTGTTTGGGCTACCATATCAAAATACCATAGGGTGGTGGTTCAAATAGCAGACATTTATTTTTTGCAATTCTGGAGGCTGGGAAATCCAGGATCAAGGTGCCAACAAAGTAGATTTCATTCTCAGGCTTCTTTTCTTGCCGTCTAGGCAGTCACCATCTCACTGTGTGCTCATATGACCTCTACTTTGTGTGTGTTCTGGGAAAGAGAGAGAGTGAGCCACTCCCTGGTGCCTCTCCTTTCAAAGGCCTTCATTCCACCGTAAGGATCCTGCCCTCGTAATCTCATCTAACACTAAGTACCTTCCAAAGGCCCCATCTCTATCCCATTGGTGACTAGAGCTTCAACATATGAATTTTGAGAGAACACAAAAATGTAGCCCATAGCCTGCACTATTATCTTTTGAGGAGAAAATGAATTGCATTCTGGTCTTAGCATTTGTAACAATGTCAGCAGGTGCTTTTGGTGCCTTGGGATGGGTTGGACCTTAGAGTCAGTGGAGCTAGATGACTACTGGTCCATATGCATGGAATAAGTGAGAAGAAACAGTGTACGGTGTTGTTGCCACTACCAGAAACAGTGGTGCTGAAGCTACTACCAGAAATGAAAGATCATCTTTTGCGAACTGCATGGCAAATGATCTAGCTTTTGCTTTATTATCTTTGCAGCCGTGTTTCTGGACAAAGATGGAGAGGGCCTTCCTTAGCCTTCTGATTAAACACAGAGCTCAGAAATTAACGGCAGAACGAGCAATATGGAGTTTGTCTCCTGGGGGCTCACATTTTAGCTCCAAAGTCTAGTTCTTCAAAACGTTTCTCATATTAGACATGACAAATGAGGAACTGATTTTAATCCCTGGGTCCCAAACCTCCTTAAGAAAAGATGCATATTTTCGTCAGAAGGATAATCAGTCTTTCCAGCAGATTCAAAATCAGATGCAAGATAAAAAAAAAAATATTCCGTAAACACGAATTAGCAACTCATATCGCTTCATGTATGACTTATAGCTGTATTGGTAATGTATGTAAATCTAGACATTAGTTTAAATTTGCATAATGTTTTAAAATGTAATTTCTCAGTGTGAGTGTGATCTTTCAACGTCAGCATCAAAAGTACTAAGCGTTAATATAAGCAGAACAAGTAAACTGTTTAGCCACTGGGTTTAGGTAGACCCAGCTGATTCAGCCATCGTAGTATCCTCTTGGGTTTCCCTTAGGGCTGGAAACATCTTTTTTTCCTTAAGCCTCAATTAACTATTAACGTATTTTAAGAACGCTTTAGGGTTTCCAGTGAAAATTCTGACATACATCCTGAAATTAGGCGTGAGAGCATAATGCTTCTTTGCAAATCAAGGAGGAAACCCTGACATTGAACCTGAGGATGGGGGGTTCAGATGGGGCTAGGGCTGGTTATACCTGGAGGTTATGCAGTGAGGAAGGAAGTGAGGCAGACCAGTTGGCCACCTCTCGAGCAAATGTAAGCCGAACACACAGTCTAACCCCATAACTTACTATGAACTCCTGCAGAGTAAGTTATATTTTCCAACTGGAACGTGTATACTATGTGAGGAGTTGGCACCAAATAAATTGCATATATGACCAATGGTGTTGGAAGAATAAAGATACATGAAGAAAAGCCTCATAATAACTGCAAGTGTTAAATACTAATCTAAATCATGGTGTGCTGGTTAAATTTATGTATCAAATAGGCATGATAGCCCAGTTGCTTGGTTAAACGGCAGTCTAGAGGTTACTGTAGAGCAGTGGTTCTCAACCTTCCTAATGCCACGACCCTTTAATACAGTTCCTCATGTTGTGGTGACCTCCAACCACAAATTTATTTTTGTTGCTACTTCATAACTGTAATTTTGCTACTGTTATGAATCATAATGTAAATATCTGATATGCAGGATGTATTTAGGTGACCCCTGTGAAAGGGTCGTTCAACCCTTAAAGGGGTCACTACCCACAGGTTGAGAACCACTGCTGTAGAGCTTTCATTGTTGTATTTTCTTTTCTTTCTTTCTTCTTCTTCTATTTTTTTTTTTAGAAGCAATTAACATGTACATCAGCAGAGTTTGAAGACAGCAAATTACCCCAATGTGAGTGGTCGTCATCCAATCAGCTTTAGATCTGAAGAGAAAAGACAGGTCCCACTGCCTTCAGACTAGAGACTGCAAACTCGGCTTTGCCCCAGGGCTTCAGCCTGTCAGCCTGCCCTGCAGATTTCAGACTTGGCAGCCCCACAATCACATAAGCCCTAAAATAAATCTCTCTCTGTACACCCTCCTGGTTCTCTGTGCACATCCTGCTGCTTTCTCTGGAGAACGTTGACTAACACATACAGGTTATGCATCCTCACCCCACATTTATCCAACATTTCTCTGTGGAACACAAAGGGCCTGGGACGATTCTTTGTTGAGAAGGACTGTCCCACTCATTGGACAACATTTAACACCTCTGTCCCTTTCCCATGAACACCATTAGTACCTTCCTCCCAAGCCATTTTAACAACCCACACGTCCCCCTACTCCCTGTAGGAGATTGACTAGTACTTGTCTAGTTGAGAACTACTGGTCTGGTTCAACCTGCCCATTTTATAGATGAAGAAACTGGGGCAATGAGAAAACATGATTTTTTTTCAATATTAACTAGTGGCAAATGGTAGCGAGGATCCAGACGTTTATATTTCTAGTTTAGCACATCCCTAACTCCCTACGATTAATCCTATGAAGTCAGTTTAAATATATTCCTTTACACATTGAATGTACAAAATCCCTAAGCATTTTATACATTGAACATTTAGCATATACAATGTACAACTCCACCTTTTATATATTTTTTGGCACCTAGTCTGCTTATCACTTATTATTCAATGTTCCCAGAACCCTCTCTTAATTGAGGGATAACGCTCTCCTTCTTAGGGTAGCTGGTTGCATAAGTAAGAGCTTGTGTGGTTCTGTGCTTCTTGGCTGCAGTTGGTTTGAATGGCCACCAGAACCTGGGCTAGTCAATCAAAGTCCTTTCCTGTTAATATCCAAACTGCAAGCAAGCAAGAAAGTCAATATTTCCCTTTTGAAACCATGGAAACAAGATGTGATTCACAAGGGTTCTTTTTGGCCACTTCTGTACCATGTAAAAGAGTCTGGTTTGCAGTGAAAGACAGGCCAAGAGCAGCAAGAAGCAGGAATCAGAAATAAAGAGGGCTGCTGTAGGGATCTGGGCCTGGGTTCCGGTAATGCCTGAGACCGAGCTGCTCACCTCCTCTCCTGAGGGTTTAGCTACTCAGCCCTTCCTCGCATAATACCAGATCCTTTCAATAAACCTCCTTTCCCTTTGGTCTAAGCTAGTTTAAGTTATGTTTTTGTCACTCCCAATGAAAAGAATCTTTTGTTTTACTAGAGAATGACTTACAGATTTTTTTTTAAATGATGCAATTCAGAAACACAGAAATTGCTACATTTGGGTTTGATGGTGTCAACTATGAATTCCCAGCAGAGGCCATGGTTCTAGCTGTGCCACTAAAGGCATAAAACCTTGACAGAATTAAGAGAAGACACAGCTTAACTAAGGTTGAAAGGATAGCTACATTAGGATTTTTATCACCGTTATCAGAATTTTTTCCCTAGCACTTTGGTTTACGTTGCATTATAAAATACTCTCCTCCTTTCATCTTCCTTGGTACATTTTTCTGGACTGTCATCCTCATCATCAGTCTCCATCAAGTTTCGGGTTTTTGAGATACAGCATTTGGCATGGCATCTACCATTTCCTACGCCCCTGCACGCTGGGGTGATTGAGCAGCCTCTGTATGGAATTTCCCAGGACATAGGCGGCAGTTAAAGATCTAAGGGCTTGGCACTAAAGCTTTCCTTGGCCGATGAGAGGAAAACAGAAATGAATAAGGAGAACAAGGAAAGAGCTCTTAATGGGCTTTAAAAAAAACTCCAGCATTTAGAAGAGTCACTTTATCTTTCCTTCTTCCCTGAATCACCGACCACTGGACCTGTTCTGTTGAAACCTGAAGTATGTGAGATCATCCTGACTTTGTTATGAGCTGTAAAATACGTGGGAAGAGAAAGTAAGGAACAATTACATTCCCTACACTTTCTCATTTCCCTGTACTCTGACGCACGGTCTTAGACAGAAAGAAATATGTGTGATTCAGTACAAAAAAAAAAAAAACACCAAAAAACAGGTGTTGGCAATTTTTTCTTTTTTCTGTACAAATCATGTATAACTCTCTTTTTACAACTTTTTCCATGGAAAGAAAATACAACTGCATGAGGAAATATTAAGTAGAATGCCAGGAGTCCTACAGGATGAAGAGTCCCCTGTCAGGCGCAACCAACAAAAGGGATCAGTTTCATCCATCATCCACCAGCACTGTAGCTCAAGAAGCTAGAGAAACACACTAGAAATCCCTGAAAGTGAAATTCTGTCTCTTAGGCTGCACACCTCAGCCTGCTTCCCCCCCACTGGACCCTCAATTCCCTTGGTTTTCAAGGACAGCTGGCTTCTCCTACACTTACTTACCTACCTGTGTCTGTTCTTCCCTCCCCCTCAGGGGTTCTATCCACACACCCTGCTGCAAAGCAAGGACCGACCAACCAGCAGATGTGGCTCCCCTGAGGCCAGCAATCTACTCTGCCTATTATGCAACCACTGCCAGTGAGCAAGGAAATGACCCCGACACAAATCATCCCCAACTCCCATGC